GGCGCTGGATATGTCTATAACGGCGATCCGTTACGGCGACTTTGAGCACTATGGCCATATACCGAGCGCTGGTTCTGTCATATCCATGATAGCGTGTGAGGCCATTGAGCCAAAAATTCTACGGCAACCTCAAGATGGGCCAACAGTAGATGTGGATTATACTTTCGAGAGCGTGAAGGACTCGACTGGCCAGGCCAGGCTAAGATTAAGGATTCCTCAAATCGAGAGGGCGGGGATAATGCCTTACTCGGAGGCGGCCAGGCCACGGAGTCACACTGATATGAAGATTCTGCATCATCGATTCCTCCAAATGGAAGAGGAAGGCAAAGTGGAGAGGGTCCCGGTAGGGGAGGCTGTGGTACAGCTCGAGCCGGTACTTGTAGATAAGTACCAACACTCGGGTGACAAGCCTAGGGAGTATCCTGTGGACCCCTCAGAGCTGAAGGCCCGCTATAGGGTTACACTGGATATGAGGCCAGTGAACCACATGGAGTTGGCAGTCTGCCAGGAGAAATTTATGTGGCTGCCGAATGCCAGAGCCTCCAGAGTGAAGACGGTGCGGCCCACTGACCAAAAGCAGCATCAGTCGAGCGCACAGGAACTCTTGAGATCTATCCCAGAGGATAAGGCCCGCTTTTTCGCTAAGGTGGACCTCAGCGAGGCGTTCTATGCAATAGAAACGCCTATTGGAGTGAGGAGATTAGCGAGTACAAGGACCCTCTCTGCCGATGGTACACCTGTATTTTGGCGATTCACGCGCCTCGTCCAGGGATGGACGTGGAGCCCAATATTTTTCAGCAGAGCCATCCAATTTGTTATTGACACGGTGCGAGACGACCTCCCCAAAGAGACCGTTGTGAGGCACTATCAAGATGACCTACTGCTATGTGGATCCAGTGAAGAGAGTGTTAACATAGCCCTGCAAAAGCTGGTTGGTGTATTCCAGGCATTTGGCTTCGATGTTAATAATAAGAAGACGGTCACTGCAACTGACACCATAGACTTCTGCGGCTTTCGACTTACTAAAGGTCACTTCACTCCATGTCCATCGCGGAAGGATCTATCTAGAGAGGCCGCTGAGGCGGCATGGCTCGAGTTTGACGGCTTCATAAGGAATCGCGCGGAAAGACAGTGCGCATGGCTACGCTCGTGGACGGGACGCTTCCAATTCCTGAGAGGATGGTTGACTCCGGCTTTAATGGAGGATCTAAATAGTATCATACTATTAGTATGTGCAAATATATAAAAACTACTCAAAAAGGTGTCATGGTGCCCAACTTTAACGAGCAGTTGCATGGGGCATTCAAGCGCCTATGTGAGCATATCCTAGCTGGCCAGCTTCCACCGTTACGATTTGGCATACCGGGGGCATCATCTTTGGGCACCATCGTTTGCACCGATGCCAATAAGGAATCTTGGTCTGGCATCATCCTGAGAGTCTATGATGCGGGCTCCGGCAGCCAACAGTTTCCCACTAACGACGACCACCTGACCACGCCATAACTGAACTATTATCTGTGCTCGAGTCGACTGGCCGCTATGAGAACATGACCTTAGCTGTCGAGCCACTACGAATATTGGGAGGGCGTTTCACGATGACTGAGTCAATCAGTTCGTCAACGTGGCGAGAACGGGCAGCTCAGTTAATCACTTTATCTGAAGGAAGAGCATACCTGAGCAG